GCCTTCGTCCTTCACCTCTTCTATCTCCACCTCTTTCTTTTCGTCACGAGCAGCACGCTCTTCGTCCTTAACCTTCTTGGCTTCCATTACAGCCTCCTGCACGGCAGAGTTGTAGATCTTAAGCTCCTTCATCGTTCCCAGCAGCACAGCCACATCCGCCTTGGCAGCCATCACATTCACGGAGTTCCGACCACGCCACACAACCAGGTTCATCACCTTCGACCTGTTAAACCACGATGGTTAGATGAGTAAATACACCCGAATAAAGCAAGTAAAGATACGTACTCAACGTTGGACTGGCCAGGGCGATCGAGCATACACACAACGCTACCGATCGGAGCGTTCTCGAAATATTGTCGCGTAGCAGGCTCAAATTCGTCAAAGTCCAGCAAGTCACCAAGTCTTTCCAGCATCATCTGGAAGTCCTTGGTTGACACCTTCGCCTTTCGTTTGTTCATGAACGGAAGAATGTGCGGCAGGCCAGCTTGGCACACGCGGTAGACTTTGCCACCCTCCGCGGTTTCATTACGCTCGAACATCTTGAGCCCAGCGTATACAACCTTGAGCTTCTTGCGCTTCATCTCCTCCAACAGAGCCATCGTGATGCTCTCAGTTACAAAAGTGACAGACTTTGCGTCCTCCGAGCGAGTGATCAACTGCTTTGCCGAAAAAGCAGGAGAAATATCGTAATACTCGCGCACAGTAGCCCAGTTGTCAGCACCAAATGGCACATACACTTCGCCCTTCTTTTCGTTGCGGCGACTTCTACGAGGCTTCGTTTCGTTCGTGCTGGCCTCATCAGGCTTTTGTGCCTCCGTAGCGTTGGTAGCCGTAGCTGCTTCTTCCTTCACACCCGTTTCTTCCTTCTTAACCACAGTCTCTTCACCTTCAGCCTTGTCTGAAATAGTTTCCTCCTTGTCATCCGGTGTAGGCGCCACCTTCTTCAATAGACAGATGAAAAAACCACCAGTGTTCTCGTCCTGGGGGAGACAGCGCATGCAACGCTCCAAGTGAAGATCCGCAGCTTCTTTCTCCGTAGGAGGGAACATCGTGGCGCGGATCTTGTCCTTGATCTTGTCCTTCTTGTTCTCCTCAACGTAGTTCTCGTAGGACGAGTATTCCTTCAGTTGCGAGTCCATGACCTTCCAGGTGCTGATACCAGGACGACGCTTAAGTAGTGGCAGTGTGTTAGACACATCCACTAGCTCAAGCGATCCCTTACTCCATCGCAGCAGATCAGCGACCACAGCTTCGTTCTCCAGTGGGTTGAACGTGCACGTCGAGTAGCACATGTTGCCACCAACCTTAAGCAGCGTCGCACCACGCTTGGCAATCTGAAGCTGTAGCGGATGCAGCGCGATTCCGTTCTTGGCACTCCAGTTCTTCCAGATCAGCGGGTTCTTACGCAGTGTACCGTCACCACTGCACGGTGCGTCGCACAATATACGGTCGAACACACCTTCGCTCTCGGTTCCGTCCTTACCGAGGAACGGGATGTTCTGGGCTTCGTGGCAAGTGACAAGAAGAGCTGGGGAGTTGATACGCTTGGACTGATGTACCAGCATGTACGCACGCTTGAGATCCACATCGTTGGCCACCACGACGCCGGTAGGAGTTTTACCGGTCGCGAGCTCCTGCGAGTGTAGCGACTCAAGCAGCTGCGACGTCTTGGAGCCGGGAGCAGCACACATGTCCAGCACCTTGTGGTACGGCTCCACGCCCAACACTAAAGGTGGGATCATACTCACCGCCTCTTGGCGAGTAATGCTGCCACTGTTGGAGAGCTCCACAAGCCACGACTGGAACTCCTTCAAGATCGGAAGCTTGCGTACACGACGACGCTCTACTGACCACGTAAAGCCGCGGTTGTCAGGATACCAGGGCATGCAGCTGATAGGCTCTACTGGCTCGTCGTCCACCACCAGGCCGTCGAACTTGAAATCCTGCTCGATGTGCTCGCGAATGCTGCACCGTAACAACAAATGAGTCGAAAGAAAGTCTATAAGCTACTGCACTACTGCACTTGATACGCAACTCACCGGTCAGCGAACGGACATGAACTATTGATGCGGAATGTCGTGGGCAGAGGCGTGCCCAGCGCCTTTTTGAATGCGTCCCAGTCTGCATCGGCCACAATGTTCTGCGCCTTGTAATACGCGTCGAAATTATCGTTCTCGTACACCCAGTCGGCGAATCTATCGGCCCGCCAGTCCTCCGGCTTGCCATCAGCACGCGGCTTCTTGTTGCCGCGGCCGCGGCCTCCACCGCGTCCTCCGCCTCGTCCGTTGCGCGATCGCTTGCCCATGTTGGAAATGACGCACTCGACCACTGGTCATGAGCAAATGTACCCTTAAAATGGTACATTTGAGCTTGAAAAGCTGTTGACTCAGAAGTTTTCGGAGGTGGCAATCGTGCACCGAAGTTATTGCAGCTAATATATCGTTTACTAATTTTTCATAGTGATACTATCTGGTTTGTAGTTTATCTGTATGGTGCTTGTACTTGGTCTGCGTGGGGAATTCATGCCTGCCAATGGAGCATGCTCACGCGAGAACTGCAGCGCACACGGAGATGTCGTCGCGCTTGCCCTGCTTCTTGTGCGCAAAGGCGAGCAGGTTGGACGCACTGTAGAAAGCTAATTGGCGAACACGTCGCTCCTTGGCGAAGGCCGCACGCTTTACGTCTAGAGACGGGATGGCCTCACATTTCTGCCGGAATCTTTCGAACTCGTCGGAATCCACGGTCTTGCTGGCCTCGAGCTCAGCCAACGCCTCGCGGCAGAACCCTGCAGCCGAAACTGCGAATGGAATGTATTCTGTGGTGCATGTAAAGGTGTCCTTGGCGCGTTGTACTGTCCTTCGCGC